GAAGCGGAGCTCCGCAGGGGCCAGTCCAGTGCCAGCCTTCATATCTGTGCTGGGAAAAAAGTAACGATGATTCTGGGGTATATCTCACTTGGGACCGAAGGGGGAACGGTAGCCACCGGCGTTCTGAGCCGCAGCGCGGCGAAGAGTCTGAGAGAAAACCTACACGGACAACGATTCACGTTAGCAACTGACAATTTTTATCCCTTTCCATAGTCTATCACTGTGACATAGCCGGGTCCGGAGTTGGCCACTAATCAACTGGAAGCGACAACTTGAAGTCATGCGACTCTCAGACTGCCAGCCCAGTGAGGGTCTATCGGCATGTACATACCATTTTGTTTGAGGTCGAAGGAGGCACACTCTGCTCCAGTAAACGATATGAGGCTGCAATTACACGTTGAAAGCTGTCGACGAAAACCGGGAGACTCCGCGACGTTCTCGTCCGACCGCCCGCGGCCAATCAGCCGGCCGAATTGAGCATCACGTGACCATCAGCTTGTCGAATCAGATATCGCGCATTTCCACACCTCATGTCCCCACGAAGTATGGAAGTATACAAGCTCTTTGTATGTGCCAGCAAGCTACTACGAGGTGAAGAAAGTGAGGGAGCGGGACTAGTCCCAGTATCATCAAGATGTAGCATAAAGAACACCAAAATAGAATTGAAGAGGAAAATTGGGTAATAGAAAAAGAATAAAAAAAAGCTGACTGTACACCACCCCAATTCACAGTTTAATCTACTTTGCCCGTGGAACCACCATTCAAGAGTCCTTCCTTGCCATCGAGGTTGAAGAAACCTCCGCTAGAGTTCCCAGTAACACCGAGGATACCGCCTCGACCTCCGCGTCTCGCCGCTCTGCCTCGAGCCACGAATGTGGCACCGACAATGGACAGGATCAAGATTATGACGAACACAATCGGATGCCCGCTAATGAAAGAACGAGTGAAGAAGAAGATCGACTCAAAAGTGCCAATGGTAGACTTGGGTGTGAGCTTAGGAGGGTTGGAAACCACAAGAGGTATAGTTTCGAGAATCGAAGTGCGAGAGGCCATAATGGATGCTCCGCTGGAGGACGTATCCCAGTAGCGGCGGTTCTAAGACAAAGTCAGTCAAATGTACAACAAGTGGGGTTTATCACCTGCAAGAGACTTACATCTTGGTCGTTAATAATGACACGCTCTCCGTTCTCCACATCGATACCAAACTGAGTCCGTAGCCACCGCTCCCAAAAATCACCATCAACCCAAGCAAAACCGACCTGCTTCTTGTCGTCCTCGCGGATGGTGATACGCATGTTTTTAGCAGCCCGAAGCGCACGCTGGTCGTTTCGGTCCTCAGCCTCTTCAATCCGCAATTGTTTAGCATCCCGCAGCTCGGCGCGCTCCAGCTGGAACAGCTGAACCTGCTTGTCCATCCATTCATGGGCCGCATTCTTTAGCTCTCGCTTAGACTGCAGGAACTCATCCGAGTGCTTGCGGCTCAGAATACCTAGTACAACGTATTTGCCATCCATAATTTCACGAGCGTTGGATGCCGTAAGTTCAGGGACAATAGGCAGCCAAACAGACCGCATCCATCCCAGGATTTGCCGGAAGTCCCGCATATCCTTGGGAGCGAGTGCGTTGTAGTAACTTGGGCGGCCGTCCCGGGACACCAAAAGACGAGGCCAGGTAGAAATCTTGAACCTTTCAGCAAGGGCGCCGCTGTTAGTCTTGACTAGTCTGGCATGTCCGACCAAGCTAAGAGTCAGACGTTCAAGAGCCTTGAAGTCCTCAGAAGTCGTTGCGTGGTCGTAGAAATAGAGGAAGATGACGTCCTCTTTCTCTTCCAGTTCCTTGAAAGTGGTAGCGTCCACATCCTGCACGCCGGAGCCGATCTCCACGGCCTTGTTGGCATAATTGACCAGATCACCCAGACCACGCAGACCATTGTACTCAACCCGTTCACCGCCACGGAAGAAGTAAATCGTCGGGAATTGATTCACTCGGGCGTCCTTGCAAAGCCGAGTCTCGACATCGCAGTTTACTTCGCCGACGTTGAGAGTACCCTGCATCTCTCTGGCCATTTCTTGCCAATTAGGAGCCAATGCCTGACAGTGACCGCACCAAGGAGCGTAGAACTTGATGAACCATGGGTCTTGCGTAGTAGTTACAAGCTTCTGGAAGCTTTCCGCCGTAAGAGGGACAGATATGCCCTGAGGATTCACTGGACCGGATGGCTTAGCCTTGGTCTGCGCGGCATCCTTGGCAACAGGAGCATCACTAGAGGCAAGCTGCGCGGCCTGCTCATTGTGCTTCTCTCCAGCCTTAGCGCCAGCTTCAGGGTCTTTGTCCTTAGCGACAGGGGCATCGGGTTGAGCTTTGGTATCAACGCTTGTATCGCCCGGCTTGGGCAGGTTCAAACCTTGCGCAGGTCGAGAGCCAGGTTTGATCTGTTCCAGCTTCTCTTCGACAAACTCACTCAGTCCTTGCATACTCTTCTTTCCCGTAAATTGCTCAACCATCTCGCCATTGTGATACAAAGCGAAGGTGGGAAAGTATTTCACCTCCAACTTGCGACACAGGTCCCCGTACACAAGACAATTTACCTCGGCGAAGTGAAAGTTGTAGAATTTATCGAAAGAGTTCAGGGACTTGGTATCGGACGACTTTCCAGAGGACGAGGACAAAGGATCCGAGGTCTGAGAAGGATTAGAGAACGCAGTAGGGGGTGAAACCCTAGGGACGCGACTTACATAGTAGAACTCATAGAGTGTCTGCCAAGTTGGCGCAATCTTTTGACAGTGCGGACATGACGGAGAGTACTCTTTGATAAACCTGAAAGGCCTGTTAGCCTGGAGCGGCCAATCTAACGTGGCGCATTGAAGAATGTGCTAACCAGTAACCATCCTTGACGGTTTCGTCGAAATCATCAGGGGTCAAAGACCTGATAGGCGGAACCTCGATGCCATTGAAGAGAGTCGACTTGGGCTCGGTCGAGCCATCCCTCTTCGCGAGATGGTGCTTGGGAGAAGCATCACCGGCGGAGGTAGCCCACGTCGGGATGGAAAGGAGAGAAAGGAATGACCATGCCAGCAAAGACGCCCTCATGCTGGCTGTAGGTCAAGGACAAGAAGCCTTCGAGGTCCTTATTCAGAAAGAAAGAAAATGTGGGGTTGGTAGTGAGAGTCGAGATAAAAGTTATCAGAAAATAAGGATTGGCCGTTCACAGGTGGCACATCGGAGTGGAAGTGACGGATGGTCTAGAAACGAGTGGATCGCCAGTGAGTCGGGGAACCACTCAGACAGGGGGCAATCAGCACGAATTCGGCGCTCCAAGAATATGCAGCAGATGTCTTGCGGAGTACGTCGATAGGACGACAAGCCACCAGACGGAGGAAAGGACGCAGGCGAGAAGGAGACCACCCCTATTATAAGATTACCATTTAACCAGATATCATTGAGATGATGGGCGGAGGCGGTAGGAGGAGGAAGAGGCGCAGGAGGGAGAACTCGGGGTTAGGTTCCTCCGCAATCCGGGACGGAACCTCAACCCTTCGTGCATCCATCCCGATTCAGTGTGCTCATCGTGAATGAACGACCCGATAAGTCACCCCGCTGCCGTTTGCCATTGGGTTTGATATCAACGCCCCTCTGGGTCATTCTCATTCTTTTCACTACCTCACACACCCTCCGCCCAGCATGAGGTCGACACTCCGGTTGCTGGCCAACGTCAAGCCGGCTCGGTACTTGGAGCCTTTCGCTCCCACCGGCTTGACCGGCCTGAACACTCACCCTAGCCCTCGTCCCACCCTGATCTTCCTTTACACATCGACCTTGAACAAGCTCAAGTCCTTCCCCGAGTCCTCCGTCTACCGTCAATCCACCGAGGCATTGACCCGCCACCGTCTGCAGATCATTGAGTCCACGAAGCCGCCTGGATTTGAAGCTTGGTTGGAGCGCGTGAAGAAGACCGTCGGCGATGAGCCTGAGCGCTTCTCTAGCCTTCTACAAGCCAACGGCACGTACGCAGGTGCTGAGCGCCTCGATGGTAGCGACAATGCCCGTGGAGAGGAGTGGGATGGCGAAGCCTTGGAGGCAACCACTGAAGGTCCCGCTCGTACACCAGCAGAAGAAGCCCGTTTCACACAGCTCTTGGAGGAGGCTTCTTCTCCTAAGAACAATGAATCGGACTTCCACCCTGAGGAGAAGAAGTGGGAGGCTGAGCCCGCTCTGACGGCAGAACAGTATGCCGAGATTGCCCTCTCCAGAACTGATTCATCGGGCGGAACGTGCTGATGTTTTTGGATATAGGATCTCTGAAATTGAGCAGCAAATCGGTGCCGGTCTTATTGAGGAAATTATTCAGGTCGCCGAAGGTGAACTGAAGGTTGTTGATGAGTTGTACAAGTCGAAAGCGTAAGTCGACATCAGCATGGTTTAGCGATGGTATGGAATGCAATACTGATATGGTCACAGCTGGGAGGAACTTGAGGAGAAGGCTAGACCTGGCCAGTGGTCTTACTTCGAGCGCCCCGAGTAAGTGCTCGGCATAATAGGGTCTTCTCATGAATGACAGACTTGACTTAAGAATTCCCATTGTTTGTAATTATAAGTTTACGTGTGTCCAATCAAACCCAATCACAATTGCATGATGATGTATAGGTTGTTGTCTGAGCTAAGGTACCCGGTGGATTGTGTCTGGTTTACTGATAACCGCTGGTCGAACGGGTTTATCATGCTGAATGTAAAGAATAATGATTGATAGGGTCTGATGCTAGTGCAAGATCTGCTATGGCATATGTGACTGTAAGGACAGCGTCCCGATTGAACAGGTGGTTCAAATTTAATTTGTACACGCGCATAATTATTCAGAGGACTACCCAAGTACGGAGTAGTAGACATGAAACTGGCCCCCGGCCACCCACGAGGGGGATGATGATCCAGAACCAAAGGCGGTGAGTCTCCCCCTGTCGCTAGCTGATTCCAGATAGCTGGCGGGATTCCCATCTCCTTGTGGACACATCGCTGTCACTTCTTGAGTATCTACGTTGACCTCGGAGGCCATTCAGGCTGAGGAATTTTCTATCCTCTTTGTGCTTTCGTATATCTTTCCTTCGGGAGTTCTTGACGTCCCCGGGCTGGGCTGTTTGAGCGGCTCGTGGCCTGGTTCCCCCTCCTTCTCACAGGCCGTCCTCCGACGCCGCACATAATCGCGACCTTCCTTCCCCACACAAGATGAAATTGGATGTCAAGGTATGGAAGTCGATCCTCGAGGAGTTGCGGACCTTGCTTCAGAAGACCTTGCATATGCTTGGTGTCGGAGTCTACGAACAATGTTCAAACCGCTGACTGTTGTCGTTGTTGTTGTTATCGAATAGAGACAGCTGTTCGCCCGCTCCGAGCGGGTGAAGGGCATTGACTTCCATCCAACAGAGCCATGGGTGAGTATTCCAGCCATAAGAAACTGTGGGCAGGCGCTGATACTTCCCAGATTCTTACCACACTATACAGCGGTGCGTTGGGGAATTGCATTTCGACCATCGCCTCGAATGCGCTAATACGATCACACAGGTCACGTTTACATCTGGTCCTATGAGACTCAAGTAAGTTGCCCTACCGTTACATCACGTATGTCATGATCGCTAAACATGTTTTTATCAGTCGATCATCAAAACCTTCGAGCTTACCGATGTACCTGTACGAGCCGGTCGATTCATTGCCCGCAAGAACTGGATTGTCTGCGGTTCAGATGACTTCCAGCTTCGCGTTTACAATTACAACACCTCTGAGAAGATTGCTTCGTTCGAGGCCCACCCGGACTACATTCGCTCAATTGCAGTGCACCCCACGCAGCCATTCGTTTTGACCGCATCCGATGATATGACAATCAAGCTTTGGGACTGGGAGAAAGGCTGGAAGTGTGTTCAGGTTTACGAGGGCCACAGCCACTATGTGATGGGACTCTCGATTAACCCCAAGGATACTAATACATTCGCATCCGCATGCTTGGACAGGACCGTAAAGATCTGGAGCCTTGGCTCACCGCATGCCAATTTCACCCTGGAGGCCCACGAAACCAAGGGTGTGAACCATGTCGATTACTACCCGCAGGCGGACAAACCATATCTTCTCACCACCTCCGATGACCGGACCGTTAAAGTGTGGGATTACACTACGAAAGCGCTCATTGCTACGTTGGAGGGACATACAAGCAACGTTTCTTTCGCTTGCTATCACCCGGAACTGCCTGTCATTATCTCCGGCTCTGAAGACGGAACCATCAAGATTTGGCATGCGAACACATACAGACTCGAACAGTCTTTAAGCTACGGCTTGGAGAGAGCGTGGTGTGTCTCCTATCAGCGAGGTCGGCAAGGCGTTGCGATCGGTTTCGATGATGGTGCAGTAGTAGTGAAGATGGGACGGGAAGAGCCAGCTGTTTCCATGGATGGTTCAGGCAAGATTATCTGGGCCAGACACAACGAGGTTGTCTCAACAGTGATCAAGGGTGGCGATGCTAGCATTAAGGATGGTGCGCCACTTTCCCTGCCTACGAAAGAGCTGGGATCGTGCGAGGTCTACCCTCAGACCCTGTCCCACTCTCCCAACGGACGGTTTGTCTCGGTCTGCGGTGATGGCGAGTACATCATCTACACTGCTCTTGCGTGGCGCAACAAGGCATTCGGGCAAGCCTTGGACTTTGCCTGGGGTTCGAAGGACAACAGCAATGACTATGCCATCCGCGAGTCGACCACCAGTGTCAAGATTTTCAAGAACTTCAAGGAAGTCAGCGGCGGGCTTGATGTAGGCTTCCAAGCTGAAGGTCTCACAGACGGTGTGTTGTTGGGTGTTAAGGGTCAAGGCGGAATTGGTATGTTTGACTGGGAGACTGGAAACCTGGTCCGCCGCATTGAAGTCGACCCCAAGGCTGTAAGTAACAGGAACTGAAATTCCCTCATTGGATTGTCGCTAACAACTCACTTAGGTATACTGGTCTGAATCCGGAGAGTTGGTGACTCTTGCCTGTGAGGATTCTTTCTATGTCCTCCGATACTCCCGGGAGAACTACATTGAGGGCTTGAACGCCGGCGAAGCCGACGAAGATGGCGTGGAGTCCGCTTTCGAGGTTGTCACGGATGTCAACGAGTCTGTTCGCACGGGTCAGTGGGTTGGAGACTGCTTCATCTACACGAACTCGACGAATCGCCTCAACTACCTGGTCGGCGACCAAACCTACACCATCTCCCACTTCGACCAGGGTATGTATGTCCTTGGCTACCTGCCCCGTGACGGCCGTGTCTACCTTGCCGACAAGGATGTCAACGTCGTATCATTCGGCTTGTCTCTCAGCATGGTCGAGTACCAGACGGTGGTGTTGCGTGGCGACCTGGACACGGCAGCGGAGCTGCTCCAGGACGTTCCCCAGGATCAGATGAACAAGGTGGCTCGCTTCCTGGAAGGCCAAGGGTACAAGGAGATGGCACTCGAGGTTGCAACCGACCCGGAACACCGCTTCGAGCTGGCCCTGGCCCTGAACAACCTCGAGATCGCCCTCGAGATCGCCCGCGAAGCCAACGTCGAGCACAAGTGGAAGATCGTCGGAGACGCCGCCCTCGCGGGCTGGAACCTGGCGCTGGCCCAAGAGTGCTTTACCAATGCCAAGGACGTGGGTTCCCTTCTCCTGCTGCACAGCGCCAGCGGCAACAAGGACGGGCTCCGCCAGCTGGCCGCCCAGGCCTCAGAAGCCGGCCTACACAACGTTGCCTTCTCCACCTACTGGTCCCTCGGCGACGTCGACGGCTGCATCGACCTCCTGGTGCGGACGAACCGTCTCGCCGAATCCGTCCTCTTCGCCCAGACCTACAAGCCCTCGCGGGCCCCCGCCCTCGTCGCCCAGTGGAAGGCCTCTCTGGAGTCCAACGGAAAGACCAAGATCGCCCGCCTCATCGGTATCCCCCCCGGCACCCCTGACGCCGCCGCAGATGATGACCTCTTCCCCGAATGGGACGAGTACATCCGCCTCGAAACCGAGGGCGGCGCCGCCGCCGTCGCTGCTCCCGCCGTCCTCGAGCCTCCTTCGTCCGAGTCCCTGATCGACGTCCACGGCGACGATGAGACCGCAGACAACGGTGCCCCCGAAGTACAACCTGAGGCGGATGATGCGGAGGTCGTTGCCGAGGATGAAGCTGAAGAGGAGGAGGACGAGGAGCAAGAGAAATCCGAGTAAAAATCACCCACCTACCGACCATCCCGCCTAAGATAGACCCTTCTGTTTGTGTTTTGCTTTTGTTGTGGCATGGTATGTGTGTATGTTTGTGCTTGTATTTAAATCCCCGTGGGAGAACTGTGCCGTAGGATGAGAGAGAGACCTATGAGAGGAAAAAGAAGAAAGTCTCCACAACGCCCTCTTATTCTTTGCCTCTGCTTGCATCTTGTTTCACATTTCCCCCTCCCATTCTTCATTTAATTCCCCGTTTTCAATGTATTGACAAGCAGCTAAATCTTGCTTGCGTGGGATATCCACACCCCTTCCTCCTCTTTTCTCTGCTCTGATCCAATTTCCCCTTACATAGCTATTTGTTTTTCAGACCTGTTCGTTACGATTCAATATTATGTGTCACTTGTTCTCTTCCCATAGAGGTATGATGTATAGCCTGTCTCAACTGGTCATTCGAGCCGAGAATCCTTATGTGAAGTTCATGGTCTACTTACCTGGTGTCTATGTGCTGCTTACAGCCGCCAAACCAATCACATCTACGCATTCAGACCATATACATTGGGTCGTACTTTCACAGCAGCAGAAACAAAAAACGTCAATTGTTGTCTATGAGCCAGTCACATCGTGAGAACAAAGTAGGGGAAAGTTCATTTTCCGTAGTTCTTTCTTCTCCCCGTCCCTCCATTCCCCGTAATCAAACCGAAAAGCAACAGCAGGAAAGGTATCGAGCTATAGGGAAAATAGAAAACAAGATGTCTAGGTCGAGACCGCGGACACAGTAACTCATGCATTTTTTGATGTTCGGTGGTGGGCAAAAATTGGGCTCGAAAATCCCAGATGGACGCCAGTTCCTCCGGAAGGAGATAGAAAATGAAGCCTCGGCAAGGTTCGATTGGATCAGGCCAGCAGACCAAAGTCAAAAGCGTCAAAGGCTGGATAGACCGAGACCAAGAAGAATATTGGGGATCTGTTGAAGTCCGGTTTGTTGGCGCGGAGGAGAGAGGAGCGATGGCGTGGAGCCGCCTATGCCGCTTGAGCGTCTCTCTAGCAAAAGATACCTGGCGGCCTAAGACTTCACTGAGGTAGTCGAACCCGAGACAAGAGTGAACAGACACGGTCGCGATGAATGAAAGGAAAGACAGGAATTGAGAAATGGACCAAAGGGACCTGCCTCGATTGTATTGGATGCAAAACCATGTAGGTTAAAAGGGAACACACCAAGCGCTCAACTAGGATCACTGCCATGGAGGAAAAAAGCAAAAATCTCGACAAAAAAGCCTCACGTACTCCCTGTGCTGGTAGAGGAGATAAGAGAAAGACAGCGAAAATGAAGAGAGAAACCCGAGCTACATCGCAGGCAGGATATGCAGATGGAATGGGAACAGATTGAAGAAACTGTTTCAAACAATTCCTTCTCCGTGTTTTGATGTCACATTGTGGTTGTGTTGAGTCCACCTCAAGAACGTTCAGTCGATGGTGACAGGCAAAAAGGCCTTTACTCGGTAATGCTTCCGAAGGAGGGATCCTTAACACTGCCACCAGCATCGCCAAGACCAGCAACCGGACGGTTGTAAGACCAGCCTTCGAACTGTTGTTGCATCGTCTGCGACAGAACAGGACCATCGACGTAGGAATCTTGTGGGGCCTCCGACGTGAATTCACGGTCGAAGTTGGTGGTGTCGCGAGCACCCAGCTGCATCAATTAGTATACGATAACGATAACAGTAAAGATATAGTGACTAGACATACCACATTGGGTCGGAAGCTTGGCTCATACTTCCTTTGGAGCAGCTTGCGCCAATCGATGTTGGCAAAGAAGTGGTGCGACTTGATCTCCGCAGCACCATTGGCACCCAGTCGACGCTGAGGATCACGGTCGAGTAGTCGCGTCAAGAGATCCCGAGCAGCGGGAGGAACAATGTCGGTGCTAGGGAATGTCAAAGGTTCTTGCAAAATCTTACGGTACATGTCGTTCGTGTTCTCGTCGTAGAACGGGGGGAGACCCGTCAGCATCTCATAAAGGAGGACACCTAGGGTCCACCAATCGACAGTCTTGGTGTATCCGTTGCCAAGCAAGAGCTCGGGGGCGAGGTATTCGGGAGTACCACAGAAGGCTATTGTTTCAAGACTGGTTAGTCGATTTGAGGTTAGGTGCGTACTCCTGGGGAGCCTTACTGTTCGTCCGATCCTCATCCTTCATGTCCAACTTACACAGACCGAAGTCGCACAGCGCGATATGGCCAGTGTAATCGAGAAGAATGTTCTCGGGCTTGAGATCACGGTAAATGACCTTGAATCCGTGCAGACATTCCAAAGCACAGAGAAGCTCAGCCGTGTAAAACCGAGCGCGGTTGATATCAAACCGCTGTTCCCGCTGAAGATGGTGGAACAGCTCACCTCCGTTGACAAAGGCTAGAACAAAATACAATTTCTCCGGCGACTGGAAGGAGAACTTCAACGGGACAATGAAAGGATTGTTGATCTGTGCGAGTACTGATCGCTCCGCCAGGGTGTGTGTCACCTCGGAGCGGGAAATGATGTGAGCTTTGCGAATAGTCTTGAGGGCGTAGATCCGACCCGTATCCTTCTTCATGACCTGCATGACCTTGCCAAAACTACCCTTACCAACGACCTTGAGAAGTTCGAAATCCTCCAGCTTCATGCTGCGGTGTTTGTTCTCGACGAACGAGACACCAACCTTAATGGAACCGGAGCCGAATTGAAGATCCAACCATTCCGCGCCAAGTTGGCCAAGCTGACGCTCTTGTGGCTGTTTGTTGTCCTTCTTACTCTTGGGATCCTCTGCGTGTGGCAGAGCTTCCTCAAAACGAGGATGAACCTTGACAGCACCGAGGAAAATATCCTCACTGCGACCGGCACCTGGGCGAGCAGCAGGGTTACGAAGATAGAGTTGGACATTCAATTCGGTTTTGCGCGAAACGTCGAACTTGTAAGCAGTGTTGTCGCCCGCCCAGAGGGGGTTTTCCGGTGATCCAGACACGGCATCGACGAAGACCTGATTCTTCTCGAAATCCAAGAGAGCGTAAGGAAGGTACTTGGTGGAGTAGCGACCATGAATGGTGGGGGCAGCATTGATGCCTCCGCTCGTCGACTGTGGACGGGCGCTTTGTACGAAGGACCCGGCTTGGCCATGCGCGGAGTGGGAGGAGGATGAACTGGGACGCATGCCATAGGCATTGTTGCTCTGGAAGTGCGAGTTGAAGATTTGTTGATAATGAGGCGAAAGAGCGAAACCTCGACCTTCATGGAGGGTGACAATCAAAATACCGGGCTTGACAGGGGCCACGGGCGGGGAGACCAGAGATTCCGAGGCATCTAAAAGCGGGAGGTTTTGTTAGGACGGTCGGCGATCGGAGGACAGGGGGAGGCAAAATCAGTGGGCAAAAGCAAACATACTGATCCCGTTGGAAATGGATGGTGAAATCGAAGGCGTTTGCGAGGCCACAGGAGTCTCTTCGCCGGAATCACCCTTGATGGTGGATGTGGAGGACGACCGCCCGAAGGTTTGGGTCAAAGGAGCGAGGTGGGTTTCCTTTAGTTCTGTCGGCCAAGAAAGATGAGAAAGAACGTCCGTTAGCCTGCATGATCGAAAATAGGAACACCAAAGCACCTTGGGGTTTACATACTTCTAGTAATTTTCCACGACATTGTGACGGTGGGTGCGAGGAAGTGGTGAGGGGGGTAATCAGGAGAAGAAGAGACGAGGAGGAAGGGGAAGCCGATCTGTCCAGGGACAGATGTTTATAAACGGGGAAAGACAAAAGTATGGATGAGAATAGGGAGGAAAGGCCAGAAGGAGTCTGGAGGAGGCCTAGGAATAGCAAAAGACGAGCAAGAGCCAGACCAGTCAAGTGCAGTTGATAGAATGCAGAACCGCCACAGCCACAGCGGTCAGCAGCAGGAGGAGAGAGGGGGGGGGGGAAAGAAGAGGGAGAGAGGGGGGTGGGAGGGGAGAATGGAGGAGGAGGATTGAGCGATAACACGGGCAGCGATACAAACTACCTATCCACTGTACAAGAAATCAACCTCCGACGTGCAAAGATGGAAGAAAAGATACAAGCCTAACACGAGACAAATAAAAAGGTTGACACAAAATGAGTACAAGATAGAATTTAGAGAGAGACTTGGTTGATAAGACCGAGCGAGTAAGAAGGAGCGAAAATGGGGAAGGGGAAGAAGAGGGAGAGAGACTTTGAAAGAGGGGAGAGGGGAGGGGGGGTGGTTTGTTGGATGAGACTCTGGCTCTAGCAGTGCCGCAGTGGAATCAACCAACAGGGACAGAACGGGAGGCCTCAGGGCTGAACTGGATGTGGGAGAAAAGTGGAGGGTGGAAAAGAGATGATTGGGTCAGGCACATCGCTGCCTTAACACCGCAGTAGGTACATAGTATGTACCTTTTGACACCTTGACACCTTGACACCTTGACACCTTAATACCTTAACACCTGAGGCATACACTCTCCTGAAACGCGCACAGCGGCGGTGCAACTTACCCACTCCGTTTCCCTCCCCTGACCACACCGCTAGTCCTAAACAGGGAACGGGCAGCGCACTCGCCCCAGTAACTCAGCCACCGCCCAAATTGGATCATGTCCGCCAATTACCTACTCTAGGTTGGGAGGGGCCCGGGAATCACACCTCAGGCTCATCCGACCACTCAGTGCACCAGCGTCTATCCCGGACTGGAACGGGGAACGACTGCCGACCTCACTCAGCTCAACCTCTCTACCTAGTCACTGATGCACTTCCCGCTCACCTCGGCCTCTTGTTAGCGATACCACCCTTGCTATTTGTACTACCTGATCGCCTCTCCAAGAACTCCGCTGACCCTCAATACGATCTGACGTGACTTGCTGTCCCGCTGTTTCCCCGGCATTTCCCTACTCATTCCTACCCGGTAACTCGGCGGAGACACCCTTTCAGACAGCACTGCATCCCTTGGGCGGTCTCAACCACTCTGCGGTCTCTTATCGGCAACTCAACGTCCCCTCCTCCAAATCTAT